GGTAACCTTCCAAACAATTTGATACTTCATTTAAACATTGGTAAATGGCTCATGGAAATGCTAATGAAAAAAAAAAAAGATTTAATGATGATCAGATAAGAAACCCTCTGTTCACAAAATGAGTCCCGTGTGAAATGTCGTGAATTAACCTGATTCAATCATTCATTGAACATTTATTGAGCTACTACTTTGTGCAATGTATGTCTTCAGATGGCTTGATTCTTCCTTCATTCTTTCTTTAATTTATCAAACATTATTTAACACTTACTGTTCAAAGGGAAAAGGATTAGGAGCTAGAATAAAATTGTGGAGAACCAGACATTGATCTTTTTCTTAAGCAGCTAACATCCTTAAAGTGGAGGAAAAAACAAGTTCTTTCTGCCTAGACTGCTCTTCCCCTTTGATTTTCTGGTACTCCCCCCTTTATTCATTGAGGCTCAGTTCAAGGTCAGCTCCTTTGTCAACACTCTGCTGATGCCCTTCCTCGTTCTATGTAACAACCTGTGCACACCTTTAACACAAAGCTCATCTTGTTACAGTGCTTCCCTGTGTTATGCAATTGCAAGGTCCTTAAGGAAGGGGCTCTGTTTTAATCATCTGGATAAAAGTAGCACTTCGTGTGAGACCTGGAACATAATGGGTGCTTCATAAATGCATACGGTGTGAGTAACTAGAGGGATGGGTAAATGTGAAACAAAACTGAGAATTGTGAAGCATCCTAGATAGAAGAACAAATATAATGCAATGCGATCTAGGGACAGATATTATAACTAAGGGATATGGGACAGTCAGGGAAGGTCCCTTGGATGATGAGCAGAATGTTGGAGCCAGGACTCAAAACAGAGATGCACTAATGTTATGTGGAGTCAATGAAATGTGAGTCAGGGTGAAGAGCTAGATCAGCAGAGAAAACAATGTGACCCATGGCACAAAGGTGGCCAGGTACAGACCCCAAAGTGTGAGTGATAAATTCTTCAGATTATCTGTAGCCTAGGTTACGTAAGTTCAGCCATGGAACAATGGTCCAGCTGGATTGAGGAGTTTGATCTCTGAATTGTCCTCAGAATTGTTCAGTAAAAATTTGACCACAATGAACAGAGTTCAGAATGGAAGGAATAAATGAAGATGTGGCAGAGACATAGGGTGTTCTTTTTTTTTTTTAAAGGGGGGGTTATTTATTTATTTTTAAAGAGGGGGAGGAAGGGAGAGAGAGGGAGGGAAACATCAATATGTCATTGCCTCTCATGCTCCCCCAACTGGAGACTAGGCCCACAACCCAGGGATGTGCCCTAGTCTGGGAATCGAAATGAAGACCCTTCAGTTCACAGGCTCAATCCACTGAGCCATATCAGCCAGGGCCATAGGGCATTCTTGAAGCCTCTGTCTTTAAAGCCAGATACCTGCTTTGATTTTTGGGAGTCTTTTAATACCTAGACTATCTAAATTTTTAATATCTAGAAATATAGTAAGTTTTTCCAAGACAAAAATTGTTTTCCCAAAGAAGTGTGGAAGAAGGTGAACCAGAGCCTGCCTTTCCTCCACCCTCTCCCTTCCACTCCAGCCCGGGATTCTCTGTCACCCCCAGAACAGTCCATGAGGGCTGTGCTCTCCCCACACAAGCGCTCTGGGATGAAGCAGTTGTTATCACCCTCACCTCACCTCTCCAGGCTACGCTGCTCAACAGATACCACAAATGGCCTAGCTCCTGAGAGGAAACTTCCAGACCCTGCTGACTTGTCCTTTTTCTTTGAGGTCCTTATAGCTTGCCTTTTCCCAAACCTAAGTTACGACCCTCTTTGACCTCAGATGCCTGCTGGAAGCCAGAACAGCCTCAGCTCTGCTTCCCTACGCAGCAGTCCCCTTCTTCATCCCAGCTTGCCCGAGGTCATGGTTCTGTTGCTGGACTAGGGAGCCAGGAGTCTAAGGAAAGGAGACCTTGATTCTACATAATCTGGTTTTCTTTGTTCAAAGCTTTGTTATCCTGAGTAGAGAGAACGGGACCTGGATTTAGTACTGGTCCTGCCAGAGCTCTCTCTGACTGTCAGTCCTTTTATGAATAAAATCGGAGTTGAACTCGATGATGTTTGAGGTTCCAACTGTCTTTGCTTGTGCTGATAAAATCTACTTGAAGACCTAAAGCAATTTTGAGGCTCACTGAACAAGTATTTGCAAGATCCTCTGAATTGCCAAGATGAATGTGATAATGTGACTGCGGGATTAGCAGGATTCTAATATATTTGTATGTCCAAGTATCTATATTCTATCTGCACAGTTAAGGTTGTAGGAAGTGGAGACATATCCCCTCACTGACTCTAAGTTTCCAAATGAATGAGCCGCTTTCCGAGCAGTCCTTTTTAACATGTCACAAAATTAACTATGGGAAAAGATAATGTTACAAATACCTTTAAGCACTGTGTGCACACACAGCTATACTTTGCAAGGCAATATTAGGTACCATCAGGCATTAAAAATGTTTTGATTTTAAAACACTTAATGAGGACTCTCAGATAAATTACATCTCCATCTGCCGTTTTGCATCATAGGTGATATTTTACCATTGCACAGTCATCTCCAAATCTAATTCCACCAGGAAGACTTCTAATCGCAGTTTAATTTTAGAGCAATATTCCACTTGGCAATCAATAAGGTACTGTCGTCAAACTTTGATTTAATAGGAGACGTGGATAACATTCTTCACATTATGCAGAGAGAGAAATACTTTCAGGAAAGGGAGAGGAGAAAGTCTTTGTCTTCCACTTCCCCTGCTGTCTACCATTCAAGCTCACAAAAGCCTATAAATCAATACCCCCACGTAGTGTGAATATGAGTCTCATCAATTTTGCATCATTAACACCATGAAAAAGCCACTGCTCTTTGAGCAGTTTTCCTCTGCTAGCTAAATATGTACTCTTAATAAAACAAGAATAAATGGATCCTGATTACTAACGAACACTTCCTTCTTCACCAACCCGACTTGTGTTGAAATCCACTTGAATTATAAAGTTAGTTGTCTTATGTCCATTTGAGCAGCCAGGGTGACTGGGCACTGGTAACACCCTCCAAGAGGGATGTCCAGTGGGTAGTGGGCAACCTGGGCAAGGCACGAAGCTGAGGGGAGAGTCCCAAGGGGAGTACAGGGATTAGAGAGTGATCAGACTCTGGAAGGTTACGGTGTGGCAGCAAAATCTGCAGAGACGATTCATAAAGTCAGAAGCCTGGAAAGATGGCAAGAGCTGGGGAATGGATGTTTTGGAAGGGCAGGATCAGTAGTAGTCCAGACCTAAGGTGATGACGGTCATGAGAAGCCGTTGTCCACTGGCCTTAGATGCCAGCTATGTGACGTGAGACTCTAGTGGCTAAAGGATCCAGAGAGATGGAACAAGACCTTAGAGAACCTCTACTCCAGTGGTTCCCCATGTTTTCATAACTTAGTTTCCATTGTGTCACATGTCTCCCTCCCTCCATGGACTCAGTAAGGAGTAAGATTTTTGTCCATAAAAAATGCATTTATAATAATTCACTTTCCTATTTGAATTATTTAAACCCATAATGAATTTCCAAAGAGAACCTGCTCAAAGATTAGCTAAGGAGTACAGCAGTAAACTGATAACAATTCCAAATAAACTTGGCATGTTCATTTGCGTGCACAATGAAATGTGTAGTCTTATTAGGAATAATTATAAATTTCTGGTTAGCTTTTTAAAATGTTGAAAATTGCTCGGGGTTATTTTTATTACCTTTAATGACCTGAGTAGACCCAGGGCTTCGGATTAGGAGTCACTGATCTGATATAAACATCTCATTTCAGAGAGGAATGAACTGAGGTCCAGAGAGATACAGTGAGTGCCTTATGTTCACATAGTAGCTAAAATTGAAGCTTCTTAATAGCCAGTATAATGAAAAGGTCCTAGAAGTTATAAGGATTTTAAGCAGATCATATAAGGCCAAGATGCGTAAATAACCCTTTACAGAGTACTATTCAATGAGGGTTTCTTTAAATAGATTTAGTATAGGAAAATGGTTGTAAAAACCACTATCACCAACAGGAACATTATTTGTTAGAGCTTAGATAATAAAGGCAGGGAGGTCAGTTTCAAAAGATTTTCAAATTACTGATCAGCTATCCCCATTTTCCTTATTCAACAGCAATGGGCCAGGCACAGAGCAAGGTGCTAGGATGACAGAGATGAGGAAGACAGACAAGGAAGCAAGCCAGTACATCAGAGCAGGAAGATCTGGGAAAGCAGGACCCCGGGGAGCGGTGTGTGCGGTGTCCTGTTTCACTGTTGCTAGAGACTGGAGTCCCATGGGAACACAGAAGGGAGGGATTATTTCCTCAGGGGCAGGGAAGTCAGGCCTTGTTCAGGGGAGGTTTCACGGACGTGGTGCTGTTTCCAATGACCTTTGTAAGAGGAGTAAGTTTCGGGCAAGTGGATAAAAGAACAGGCCATTGCACACAGAGGGACCAGCTCATGAACAGTGTCAGAGATGTGGGGGACCCCACTTCTAGCCCAAATGGTGACTTTGGACAACATGGAGAAAGGGGTTGGTTCCTCAAGACCATCTATCACCATCTGTCAGAAAATTGTTATAACCATGCAAGACTTGCTTCTGTGAGTGTGAACGGCACCCGCTGTGGGATGTACAGTGTACATCTTCCTCCGCAGCCAGCACCGGTCCTGGGTACATGAATGTATTAAATATCAAGCCAGAACTTAGACTGGGCTGTGTCCTGAAGAAAGATGTAGCAGAAGCCGCCGCCACAGACGCTCATTCAGCATATGAGCAGTCCTGTTTATCTCTCTGTCACCGCACTAAGACCTCGGAAGGGAGCCTCCATTTCTCAAGGGCAGACACAGCTCTTTTTCCTCCCATCTGGACCCAACAGCTTTTCCAAAGCCCCTTGGGCCTGTTCACACGTAGCTGAAACACATCTCTCATTGATTAACAGCTCGAAGGGAAAGTCCCCTGAAATATGCTCTTCCTTTTGTCTCCCATAGGCTCTTCAGCATCATCATGCTGTTCACGAAATTTCCTACATTGCAAAGGACATCACAGATCACCGGGCCTTTGGATATGTCTGTGGGAAGGAAGGGAATCACAGATTTGTGGCCATAAAAACAGCCCAGGCGGTGAGTACCCCATCGAAGGAGGGCACCTTTTCTTATAACTTCAGGAGACTGTACAGTCAGCTGCTGGGCTCTGAAAGTCACACGGGTGTGTGACTAAGCGATGCTGGTAGAAAAGATACACAGCCTTGAAGCAAGGGAACACGCTCATGCCCATCCTGTTTCGTTGTGGTTTTTCCCTAATGGGTATTTCGTAATGACTAATTATTTTCCTTTCTGATTATGCTGAATGGAGCCACAGTATACAAATAAGTTTCCTTGTGTTCATAGCCTCATTTAAAAAGAAAATAAGAGAAAACAAATAGCTATTTTGCAGAAGGCCTACTCCAATTTTATTGTATCCGAAATTACTAATAAATAAAAGCATTGCCTTTTATGCTTATGATTATTATGAATTTGCAAATATAATTAGTTGAAGAAATGAACTTTAGCCTAGTACAATTTGCTAAACCAATATAAACAAGGTAGAATTAATTAAAGATGGAATGCTTTCAGTTTAATAGAATAAGGAAGAACTGTGAGTCGTAGCCAGCAAAAACAAAAATTGGTCTCTGCAGCGCAGTCCCACTGCCTTATATTAACGTGTTTTTACCACGTTTTACTCCAGGCTGAACCTGTTATTCTGGACTTGAGAGATCTCTTTCAACTTATATATGAACTGAAGCAAAGAGAAGAATTGGAAAAAAAGGCACAAAAGGATAAGCAGTGTGAACAAGCTGTGTATCAGGTATATCTGTGAACTTATCCTGGTACCAGAGAAGATTGGGGCTTTTAAAATAAACAGATGTGAAAACGGAGAGTCAGGGCTTCTCCTTCTGCTGCCAAATAGAAATAAAGATGAAAGGTTCCCGTGTAAATTACAGACACAAAAGCAAGGCATTAGAAATGATCCCTTGTTCTCTGAAATCTTGAATCCAGAGGAAGATTTCAGGGGACAATGAAAGAAACACAGTTGCTTTTGCTGTCATTACAATGGGGTGGGGGTGGCTATGAGGGTTTTGGCATTCTTCTGTGTATTTTCTACCTTAATGACCCACCAGCCTCTCCTACCCAGAGCTGGTTTCTTTACTGTCCTGTAATACAGTCTCACATCTCTCCTTTATATCCTCTGCTTTGCACCCTCCTTACCCTCACTCTGCTGTAGACAATTCTGGAAGAGGATGTGGAAGATCCTGTATACCAGGTAATTTCTGAAACCAGTTGGGGCTTTAGGGGCAGGAACGCCTAGGCCTGTGATATAGACATTTTGTCCAAGACCTGAAGCACCCCCTGCCTGCAGATCCTGGAGAGGGACCAAGGTGATTTCTGAGAGTGAAGACTGCCAGTCCCTCCAAGAGTGAATTTCCATAAAAACTAGCAGAAGTTTACCCAACATCAGTGACCTGGGGTTTGGAGATGTACTTCTCCCTTCTAGCCCCCGCCTCCACCCCTCCACAATCTATAAAAGTCTAATCCCAGGGCTGAATGTGTTCAAGAGTCTCTTGACTTTTCCGAGTTCATCAGAGAGATTGAATAATAAGGTGATTTCTCTGAGTTAAGAATTGGAGATGGGGACTGACATTTTGACGACATTTGAACACAGACCCAAAGGATGCTTTGTAGGCTTTAGAAAGGCTGTGAGGAGAAGTCTCTCAGAGCCCCGCTCGGCCAGGCTGCCCCTCTGATGAGCTGGCTCATGCCACAGGTGCTACTGCTGTGAGGAGGGAACAGGAGATCCTAGGGACATCCCGGCCCGTAGCGTTCTCTGCACTCACCAAGGCTGCAGCCCAGGTGTGTGTAGAGAGATGGCTTCCCCCGGGCTGAAATATGTGCTCTGTTCAAAGATGCAGGAAAAAGGGAAGAGAAGACCTCAACCCCTCACCCCCCCATGCTTATTCCCAAGGGGAGAAAGAAGCCCCAAATATGGACTTGTTAGACATCAAAGGAAACCTGAAACATGTCTAACTGGCACACATGTGGGTTATAGATCTGCGTGTGTCGCAGAAGTGTGTATGTGAATGCATATTTTCACACAGAAAACTCCTATGACAAAAGTAAAATAATGTGGTTTTAAAAAGGTTAGATAATGTAGATCAGTTGCCGTGGAAGAAATATCTAGCATACAAGGCAAACTGAAGTCAAAGATGCGCTTAATGACTTGACTGCCCTTGCTTTACAACGAATGCCTGAGGGCAAGGGTTTGTTTATAATATGAGCTCAGCCCTGGCTCCCGGGCTCACAGAGAATGAAGAATATTGGCTGTTTTGAAATGGCCCAGTCCTTTAGAGTTGGAAACAAGCACATGGAAAATTGGATATCCAATATTTAAAACTAAGACGGTAAATTAAGGTGATATTTATGGGATGAGGGGGTTTGGGGCTTCTGAGCACTTCAAAGTTGGCCTAGGAACCTAAGCCTTAAAGGGCAAAGGAAAGTGACACTGTGACCCAAAGTTTACAAAGTCGGGACGTCATTCCCACTGAGCAGTGCCAGCACACGCAGACATTACTGAGATAAATGCCATCGAATAAGGAAATCATAACTCCAGAAAGATCTGCTGTGCTCCATGCAATCATCATTGAGGGCTGACCATCAGATGGTTGCCGTTGTCCTTAGAAAAGATAGGAATGTGCAAGGCCCACTGGTATTTCAATAATTCAGTTGTTGCTTTAAGATATTTTCACTTGTGCCTATTTCTTTAATGCTGACTGTGATTTGTACCTTGAATTCCAAATGCTTTTTTTCCTCTTTCTTTTTCCTCTGACCTTTCCTGTCTGGCCGCTCCGTAATAGTACATTGTGTTTGAGGCTGGACACGAGCCAATCCGTGATCCCGAAACAGAAGAAAACATTTATCAGGTATAAAGTTGCTTCTCTCTCTCAGCATTGCGTACCACCAGTACATGCTCTGACAGGTCTGAAGGACCAACAGCTCTCTCCCACGTGCTCCACTTGGTCATTCCACGCTTGCTGAAATACCTTTGCATGAGCTGGCTTTCATTTTCCCTGTAATTTACGAGTGGTTTTCACGCCTGACCATTGAAATGGTTAATGGCCAGTTGTGTACAGTGTTGTAACTTTGAATGGATCTTAACTATTTTCACTTGACCCAAAAAACCAAATATTCCATTTTACTAAAGTAATCCAGTAGAGGGTGATTGTCCATAATGTAGCAGGGCCCTTTGTTTCTCAAAAGAATGTGCTCATTGAGTTTAAGCTAACAGCACTACTGAAAATGAAGTACAAGTTCGAAAATGCTACTTAAAAGCAACATTGGGAAAATTAACTGAATAAAAGACAGTAAAGCTAAAGGTTTTACCCCTTCTGAAGGGAAGGTAAATCAATGTCCTTAAATGTCTGCTTATGTGAAAAACAATGAACACACTTTTAACTCATTTAATTCTCACAAGTAAGCACCTGAATCCCTCTTTTACAGGGGAAACTGAGACTCAGAGAAGTTGAGTAGCGTTCTCAGGCTGCACAGCTATTTAGAGCCGAGCTCAAACCCAGGCACATGTTGAAGGCTCAGTTTTGTCCCCCACGCTTTCCCACCAAAGAGTCTGAGTAATTGCAGCCCAGCAACACATACAACAAATGTGACAGCCTCACATTTTTCACTAATTAGAATTTTCGTCGTAATTTGAATATGAACATTATAGAAGTAGGAAAAATTTTAATATATTTCATAAGTGATTTTAATTTTCTTAATTTACTTAGTTGGGTGGTCTGTTATTGTGCCTTGGGCCCACATTACTTGTAATAAAAATAAAACAGATTTTCAGTTTCCATCACATGTACAGAATTCTAAATGAACGAAGTATAACGTTAGCTCCATCAACAGCTCAGTTTAAACCAGCCCCATGGAATAGTCATCTAAGCTCAGTTGACCATTGAACAATATGGGTTGGAAATACATGGGTCCACTTACACACGGATTTCTTTCAATAAATACCTTTACTGTTTTCTTACTTTGGTTGGAACCTGCAGATGGAAAGGGCCTACTGTTATGCATTGAGCAGCACCCTTTTATATGGGAAACTTGTGCACCTGCCAATTTTGGTATCCGTCCTGATGGGGGGCGGGGGGAAGGGGGTCCTGGAACCGATCCTGAGTGAATACCCAGGGACAACTAAGTTTTCAGGGAGTCGAAATTTATATACAAATTACCAGCTGTGCCACAGCCAGCGTCCCCTGTATTTCTATCCATGAGACGTATCTGGACTGGATTCAAGTATGAGGGTGTGCTTCTAGGTTTTGGTTAAAATCATCAGTGACAAGTTTCTACCTTCAAACATATAAGTTGCCCCTTTGTCTTCAGTGTCTGGTTTTCAAATACAACCTTGCAGTGTTGGAATACGAGGCCAGGGGAACCATTAACCAGTAATCCTCTGAAGAGAGAACACCTTTTCTTTTTAACTTTTTCCTTTTTAAAATATTTTTGAATTGCAGTTTACATTCAATATTATTTTGTATTAGTTTCAGGTGTACAGCATAGTGGTTAGACAATTGTATATGTTAGGAAGTGGTTCCCTGATATGTCCTGTACGCACCTGGCCCCATGCATAGTTATTACAATATTATTGATTATATTCCTTATTCTGTACTTTATGTTCCTATGACTGTTTTGTAACTACCAATCTGTACTTCTCAATCCCTTCACTTATTCACCCAGCTCTCCCATCAATAGACAAATGGGTAAAAATCTGGGTGAGGTACATATATACAATGTACAAAGAACCATTTAAAATAATAGGCCCTTCAGTATAAGAGGTTTCTGAATTCAGACTTAGCTGTAGTTGGCAGGACTCACATTGTATCCTGTGGAGGGATGTAGGGGAGGAGGTTTTGAGGGGGAGATAGGTGAGTGGAGAATTGGGTTCTAGTTTTGGCTCTGTCACCAACCACCTTTGGCTGAGCAGTATTAGGCAAGGTACCTACCTTCTCAGAGACTCAGTTTCCCCAATGACAAAATTGGAGAATAATTTCTCCTTAACTCACATGTCGGCATGGGAATGAAACAAGCTCACATGGAGAAAGTACCAAAGAGGCTTCATCTAAGTCACACATTGAGTCTACCATATGCAGATTCAAGATCTTAGTGCAAGTCCCACCAACTCAGCCATTATTCCACATTGTCAAGTTCCTTTCCTTCTCTGGGCCTCAGTTTACTCATCTGTAAAGAGAGTAAATGAAACTGAGGGGTCTTTCAGTTTCTGTCCTTTGTAACCATTTGCCTCATCAAAGGCCTGTGATTATTTAGAGAGGCATGTTGGCTTGCTTTACAGGGCAACAAGACTCTCAGAAATGGTGTGTGTGCATCTGTATACACGTGCGCGTGGGTGCGCACACAGTTTTGATGACGTTTATTGAGTGCAGATTGCGGGCCGCTCTGTGAATGAGGGTTTATATACAGTATCCTACTATCCCTTACAACAGCCAGTTATTGCCACATGGCAGATGAGGAAAGTGGGGCTCACAAGGTCGCAGGGCTGTAAGAGGTAGAGCTCCCTGCTCACATCAGGTCTCTCTGACCTCTAGAAACATTAAATAGATTAATCCCAAGGCTCTTTTCAGCTCCAAATATCCTGATGCTCCGAATGAGCTTCACAATCAGATTCTGTATATGTTTCAAGACATTATCTAAAAATCAAACGTGTTTTAACAGTCCCAACCTCCAGATCTTCCTGTCTGTTCATCATTAACAAGAAGGTAGCATTTAAGGGAATGAGGATTTTATCGCCCTCTATCGGAAAGGCCTCTAGTAATTTTCCTCTCCTCCAATTGCCAGGCTAGGCCTTAATTTGCTTAATAAGAGATAAACTGTTGGCCCTAAAAATATGCTTGGGCTTTTAAGAAGCAGCCACTAGGAACCTCATTATTTTTTTCCTAAGGGCCTCCAAGTATTTTATATCTATTCTCTCTGGGTCAATTGCAATGTGTCTCACTTCCGCTCGGTCCAGGCTGGACTCAGATTTCATGCCATCTCCTATTTTCTGGAATGAAGTAAAGGGACCTAGGGCCTAATCCCTTAACTATTTTTTCCTATAACCTCGGGATACGGTACTATCTGCTTCTAGAAGTGATATGCAGATGTAAAGCGGGAAGGACAGCACTTGGGACCTAGCAGGTTGTGTAAACTTTAGTTCCCTTTGCTTCCAGAAGTGGTCAGTGTCAGATGCTGCCCAGGATGTTTTGTGATGATGTATTAACTGAAGTAGAACACGACTTGCTCACCTCATCTTGTCAGAGAGCCCAACAGAAAGCGGCAGCCTCTCCTGCCATGGCTATTTGTAACTCCAGCCTGAGGGAGACAGAGGCTCCTGAGTAAATATAACCTGTCTTTGAGGTTCACCAGTCTCATTTTCCAAGCTGGATAAGTAATAGTAATTCTCTTTCTTTTTTGCATGCCTTAGAAGCGGTTAGCAACCATCCCTTTAAAACAACATGGAGCCTCACAGTACAAAGGGTTTTTATACCTCACTCAATTTTGACCCTTCCAGTGTCTCGGTGAGATAAAAATGGCTATGATGACAATCATTTTAAACGTAAGAAAATCAAGTCCACCTATTTAAGTGCTGGGTCCAAGGTCAGAGCCTCTGATTCTAAGCTCAGAGCTCTTGAGTTTCTTAACAGGCTTCCTGCATAAGTGAGATCACAGCTTTCTAGGCAGGTGTCCTCCAATTTTGTTCATTCAAAAATCATTTTTACACACCTATGATATGTGTCAAGTGTATTATTTTTAAATGATAAGTCTGTAGTCGTTTGTCACCCAAGCCTTAAACTGCCCCTCCATGCTATTAATGTGTTGCTGACCTGAAGTGTCTTCTGCATGTACAGTACTAAATATATGGTTTTTAGAGTCATTTAACATCTATTAACTTGTTCATTTAAAAAGTAATTATGTATTGAGCCCCTAGCAAGCGCCTGGTCCATGGGGATGTAGTAGTGACCACAGCATAGTCACTGCCCTCAAGGAGTTTATAGCCAACCCCTTAGATGCTCATAAAAACCAGATGAGGAAACTGAGTTCAGAGAACAGAGTGACCTCTAGGGTCACTCAGCTTGTAGCAGAGCCAGGATTAGGAACCAGATCTCCCACGTCCTTTTGGTCCAGAACTGTTACCACTCTACACCACCATGCTCCTGAACTGGTCTACGGACTACATGGACCAGCCACGCAGACAGGAGAGCCGGGACCAAGGCTCTTCCTGGTCCTCGTCACTTTAGCCCCTCTGTCAGTGTTCTGCCTTCAGCACACACATGGTAAATGTTTGATGCTTAGATGTTTCTTCTTTAACCAGTATTTATAGATGAGAGAACAAAGACAAGAAAACATTTGCCTTGCCCTCAGCAAGCTTCCTCAGCAGCGAGAACACAGAGGAGGACCAGGCAGCTGCAGTGTGGTTTCTTGAGTCCTATAGATGACAAAGCACCTTTTACACTCTACCATAGCAACCTGGTTTCTTTTCCATTTCCCCAGCATGACAAGGAGCTCTGTTCAATTAGGGGCCATATTCTTCTTATTTCCCATCATTTTTCCTGGAAAAGCACCGTGCGTGACACCTAATAGGTACTTGGCAACTTTTATTTTTTTAATGGAAGGATGCATCAGAGGTTACAGGAGTACAGAGAAAGGTTTGAACTGGGCCTGGAAAGTCAGGCAAGTCTCCCAAGAAGATATCCTGGCTGAGATAAATCTTAAAGGACAAACAGGGAGATTAATATCTCACCCATGGGAGAGCCGAGCAGAAAAGCTTTTTCAATTATGCACAGTTTGGGTTTATCCATCCCACCACTTTTCCTCCGTTTGCAGGGATAATTGAGAGTCAGCAGCAGTTCAGCTTGCTAAGTGCCCACAGCGAGCAGTGAATTACGGGGAACAGAAATGCTGTTCGTGTTGCTCAGGAAAGGGTGAGCTAGTAGAAATAAAGTGAGGGCTGGTAATTTATTGGCCCTCATTAACAAGGACTCTGTATGCCGCCTCAGAGGATTCCTTTTAGATGGAGCCCAGTTACCAGGAGCAAAGAAACTGCATTCTTCATTGGCTACTGCAAACGAAGATTTTCAACAGCCGCTCTAAAATGCATCTTTTGCACAGCCGTGCTAACACGTAGGCCATTTTCTGCAAACATGTGCACGAGCTTGTGGGAATGTAGAATGTGGTGTCAAAGAAAAAGAAGCTCCCAGAACAGCTGTAGGAACCATGGGAACAGGAGTGAGATACAGCTGTCTGTATAGTACAGCAGTTACAAGGCAATCTGCCCAGGCTCAGACTCTGGGCCCCGCTGCTCACTGACTACAGGGGCTTCCCCAGGGCTCATTTTGCTCCTCCAGAACACAGGGACAGTTGTCATCCTTCCCCGATTGACTTGTCTGGAGGATTACGTGAGAATGTACCTAAACAAATGTTTTGAATAGTGCCTGGCCCGTAGAAAGGGCCTCGTCAGTGTTAGCTCATACTGTGAGTGATAAATGTTTTGTTTGGTAGCCAGGAAGAGCTGGGTACCTAGCTGCTCACTTCCTAGCTATGAAGCTTTCGGCAAGTTTCCTAAACATCTCTGAGTCTCACTTTCCACTATTTAAAGTGCGGGCCAACTTCTTAGGGTTATTGTAAGGATTTTAAAGTTAAATGAGAGTGAAAATGACAAAGGGACTCAAAGAATAAGCCCAAATTCTTACTTGTCTTAGAGTGATATGGTTACCCCGCCCAAGCCGCAAAGGTATTTTTTTTCTTCACCATTCCCCACATTTCCTCTCTGGAACATGTACCCAGCAGACACATACTGAATGCCTGCTGGGTGTTAGGCACTGTGGCTGCTCTCAAGGGGCTCCCAGTCTGATGAAAGACATGTTATCAAACAATTATAAAACAGCTGCTGGCTGATCCTCCAATGCGAGTGTGAATTAAGTTCTGCTGGATGCTGGGGAAGAACAACTATGATTACCTGCAACCTGGAACGTTTCAGTACAGAGCCCTTGATTGACAAATGAGAAAAGTATACAATGCACTGTTGTTAGTATTATAAAATGCATTTAAAAAAGAAGCTGTCGTTCTAACATTTTACAGTACTATGATGCCGAATTATTTTTGATTATTTATTGTCTGTTTTCTCATTTGATCCTCGCAATAATCTGAGCCAATAGCACCCATTGTATAAGGATGTAGCTCAGAGGAGCTAAGTGGCCGGCTCAGGGGGGTCCAGTCACTATGTGGCCCTATCGGACCAGATGGATGAGAAAGCGATACATGTTTTTTTAAAAAATCAAGATTTTCTGGATTCTAGTCTCATGATTTTCATACCATTTCAGGGTCCTTCCCTTGAACAAAAACCTTCGGTGATTATCTACTTGGCTTGTATATGATCCCAACAAAAGTGGCACTTTGTACTAGGACCTTGATACTTGCTCTATTTTAAAGAGTGTTGATCTCAGTCTTAGAGTTGAAACTGAAAACTGTTAATCACTTTGAGCAACTCAGAGAACCTCTCTGGGCCTCAATTTTGTCTTTGGTGAAATGGGGATTTTTTTTTTTTTTTTTTTTTTTTTTTTACCACATGATTGCTGGGGTCTCTGCAGCTTCCTGTTCTGTGATTCCATGAAGAGCCCAGAGGCAAAGACCCCTGCAGACATCTTTTACATGATTCACACATACCCTCCTCCTCATCCAGTTTCCCTAAGAGAAGAAGCCTGGCCTGCTGCTTTCACGGCCCCTTTGGGTTGGCCCCTGGGGCCTCGGGGGCTGTTCTCACACACACATACCCAGCCTGGAGTTGAGGTCTGGCTGCTTTCTTCTTTCAGGATGGAGCACCAGAGTGTTTTGACTGTATTGAATTTGATTTTTCCACAGGTTCCCACCAGCCAAAAGAAGGAAGGTGTTTATGATGTGCCAAAAAGTCAACCTGTAAGTGTAAGTATATCTCCTTTCTACTACCGGGTTCCCGTGATCTGGATTCATATGTCTACAACCTGAGGAAAGGAACCCCTCTTCTGGATATGTCATGACCCTTATGGCTTTGCTGGGGGCTGCAAGTTGGGACCCCTCAGTGGTCAGAGGGAAGGAAACACAAAGGACAGAATGGTGGGGCTGAGGAAGGGGTGCCAATCTGGATGAAAGTCTGGCTCCACCAGGGGGAGTGAGCTGAATTGTCCAAAACACCGCACCCAAGGTGTTCCATGGCAAAAGGCTTCAGCCAAAGGTTTTATTATACCTGGTCAAGTAGGAGACAGTGTCTTGTGCATCCATGTTGGAAGTGGTTGAGAAATTTCAGAGGGACAGAAGGACAATAGAAGAAGGGCTAAACAGGACGTTTAGAGTGTGTAAAGGTCCAGCCAGTGGGTAGAAAACTGTGGAAAAGGCCCTGTGCAGTGGGCTTACAGAGGACCCAGGAAGTAATATACCCCATGTGCTGGTGGGACTTCTGGAAATGTGAGAGGGAAAGGAAGTTTCAAGCTCTGTGGTGCTACCCCAAGGCCCTCTAGGCCCAGACCTACATTTAAGACTTCCAGTTGGCACTTTGAAGACAACCTCTCTCTACAATTCAAGGAGTACTGGGGAGCCAGTGAGGGCTCTTGAGCAGGGGCACATGAGATTTTTGCCACAGCTTATGTAAAACAAACAAATAACAACAAGAACAAAGCCTAGAGTGTTTGATCACTATTGATTTTAATCATCTCAGTCATGGGTGGAAAGAGTATGGGCTTGAACTCATGTAGACCCTCAAGAATCCCAGCTCTGGCCCTAACGAGCTGCTGTGAGGCTAAATGACTCTATCTGGACCATTGTTATCAGTTCTGGACCCCACATGGTGGAAGACATAAAGACACACCTGCGTTCTGCAAGGTTAGATTGAATGGAGGTTGGAAACTGCACCTTGTGAGGAGTAGCTGAAGGACTTGGAAATGTTTGGCCTGGAGAAAACAAACCATGGAAAAGAAAATATACAGATGGGCATCCATAGGGTCATGTATGGAAGGGGGACTATAGCGCTCTGTGTCAGCCAGCTCATGGAGCTGAGACCAGTGGGGGCACCACAAGAAAGTCAGGCCCCACTCCAAGTGAGGGTGATTTTCCTTCAGGTCAGAGATGTGCAGGGCCAGGGAAGCTGAACTACGGGTGTGCGCTCCCCATCGCTGGAGCTGTGCCTGGGAGACCACCGGTCAGAAAGGCTGGGAGCAGGGGATTCGAATGTGAAATGGGTAGGGGCCAGTGAGCAATTGATGTCCCTTCCACACCTGAGTTGTTGGATTTTCCGAGTTGAGAGTCTTTCTGGTCTCGTCTTTATTCACCCCATCACGACTCCCCATTGCCCTCGTGACATTTCTTTCTGATGAGTGTCCACTTCTCTACCCTACTATGCTGGCATCTTTCTGAAACCACCATACCTCACTAAATATTCCTTCTGAAACCTAGCGCAGATTAGTTTTAAAGAAAAAAAAATAGTAAAACCCAAATCTGGAAACATAGTAGAGATTGTAGCACTGCCCCACGAAGTTGATGCTCTGGATGGAAAGAAATTTACCACGTGTAATAACAGGTTATCTCACTGAGCAAGCATTGGGCATAGAGTAGGTGCCTAGAAAATCTGTTTCTCCTTGATTTCCTCCTGGAGAGCTTGAAATCAAGGCTCTACATGTTTCTATTCTGCCTGAAAAGGAGCCACACTGGGAGAAACTGATAGAAATCCTGATCACATTTGAAGCCCAGTTTCTTTGTTTTATAGTGTCAGGCCACCAGCCATATGTCCTGAGTCCAAGGCTGCGTTAGTTGTGGAAAAAGCAGGTATATTTAACTGAGCATCTGCTATGTGCTGTGGACCAACTAGGTTCTGGTCTTGGCTTATATTTCCGTAACCGCAGTCTTAGGGGGCAGGTGTTGTTTCAATAAGGAAGCAGAGGCTTGTAGAGGTCACATAAGTCACCCATGACCACAGAGCTGAGAAGTTGCAGAGCCAGAATTTGAACCCTAGGTTGTTCGGACTCAGGCACCCGCACAATTTCTGCTAAAACCTACTGTTTTTAAGGTTATAAAGAAAATGCAGAGCCCTTCATCTCCTCACCATCACCTTACCCAGAATCAATGCTCAGGCCTCAGTGCCCCTCATCCATTACCTATTGTTTTTGAGTCTTTATAACAGCGCTTAGGCCTCAGGAAGCCCAGCATTTGGTTGCTGGCTATGAACGCTTCTCCCCGCCTTTAGGTTGAATTTGATGAGGCATGGCCATGTCTAATTCATTTCCAAACCTGCTCTCTCTGCCTGGCACTCTGCTTTCATCATCCTGGTATTGAAAAGGTATTTCTGAATCATCAAGGACAAGTCTCCCCATCCAGCAGATCAGAAAGCTTCTCATTTTGCCACTTCTGTCTCCTACTCTCCAAACACCTATGTGTTTCTCTATGAGACCCCATTCCCTGGACAGTCAGAATTCAGTTGATTTTCTTTGCCCTAGATTTAATTCAGTTTCCCTGCCGCAAATGTAGAAAGAATCAATCCAATAAGGTGAAGAATTTCTCTGGACAACTGTTCCCTACAACACCCCCCTCCATTTTTCATGGCAAATAAATTTTCATTCACAATTCAGCAGTTGGTTTTCCCTTTCATTTGAAATCTGGATCAAGATGTTGTATAATTGGATTAAATCTAGTCTGAACATTTGTCAGTTTCACTTCCTCATTAAGCACCACATTGTAGAGAAATTATAATTATCGCGACGCAGTTAACATAGATGTCACACCAGGGGAGGCCATCCCGAAGTGAAGGAAAGGAATCTGACTCTACGTATGCCCACAAATGACATAGGATTTTGATGTTTTGATATTTCTTAAGTGGGCTTTCTTTTAGCTGTACCTATAAATTGTCCTGAGAGAGAATGCTGAGTTCCTAAAAATTCTATAACTTGTAGGAACATTGCAAGATGCTATCTGGTTCAGCCTCCCCAGCAATGCAAGAATCCCTCAAAGATGTGTATGGTAAGTGCAGGTGAACATTCCTGACTCTTCAGCTTTGGCTCACATACCTGCAGTGACAGACCCTCATATGTTTTTTAATCTCAGAGCTCCAGCTACTAGAAAGTCCTTTTTTTTTCTTTTGTTTATTATAACTTCTATTCATTCATTCATTCATCCATCCATTCACCCATCCTTTGGCAAAAGACCCTCCTACCTGCCAGAAGGTGTTCTACTCACTTGAGAATCAAAGAAAAGTAAGATTGGCTGCTTGAGAATCTTGATAGTCTCAAGAAGAAGGGAGCCATATACAAATAATGATAATCTGTATAACAAATGCTGTAAGAGTCTGGATATGAGATGCTCTGGGAGCAGAGTGGAGGCCAGTGAACTTTCTGTAAGGGAATTTGGTGAGGTCTTCAGCCAGGGGATTGGGTTGGAGTAGAGTCTTAAAATTGATGGGAGTTTGGCACTAGAGAAAGGGTGGGACAGCATTCAGGAAGAGGGAACCAAGTGTTTAAAGACACTGAAATATCCCAGGGGCTGATGAGAAGTCTGGGGTGGCAGGACCATGGGATGACTTCATGGCAGCAGAGGACAGAGATGCCAAAGGAAGCCAGCCCCAGCGAGCCTAGGGCTCTGAAGGTGGTGTTCAGAAGCTGGAATTTGTTGGGAAGCCACAGGTGCTTTCAGGTGGTGGAGTGACACTATCAGAGTCACATTTGTCAACATCACTCTCTTGGCCTGTGGCAGGCGGCTGGACAGGTGGGGAGATCATTAGGAAGCTAATAGAATTATTTTTGTGTATCCCTTAGGATGAAGTCAGGAAAACAGAGCCCATACCAGTGTAATATAGGGAATTTAATGTGGGGAACTATTTACAAAGGTGTAAAAAGAGCCGAAAAGCCAAATGGGACATTGGGGCAACCATAATAATAATTGGAAATTGCTACCATTCCTAGGCTATGGAAAGGACAAAGGAAAGAGGTGGCATTAGCCGAGCCCAGGAGCTGGCGCTGCTAGTATCCCATTACTGGCAGGTACTGGGGCCACAGAGGGGCCTGTCCAGTGGGGCCTAGACCATGGAGAGGTGGGCTGTCTGGCAGAAACTAAAACCACGGAGGAGACTTATCCACTGCCCAAATACTGCCCAGAGAAAGCTGGGGTGAATTCCACCCCTTCTCCCTTCCTCCCCACTATCCGATTTCTATCCGCTGCCTCCTATTGGCCAAGTCTAAGTGGAAGTGTGCTGGCAAGGGAGCCTGGGCAGTATGGTCTACAAGGTTCAGCCCCTGCCATGCAGGACAGCAGGGAGATGGCATGAATGGGTCTGAGGGCAAAGCGGCCAAGAGGTAGACAAGTAAGGACCACTGTGGGTAAAGACCAGGAGCGAGGCCCTGCAGAGAGAAATTGAGAGAGAAAGAGAAAGAGAGAGGTGAATTTGAGTGTATAAACAGGGACCTCTGGAAAGATCTCACCAATGGAGAGGAGTGAGACAAATACGAGGTCTAAGCTACTTCCAAGGTGGCATGCTTTGGGAGGTCAGGTACTAGGCGGTATGGACTGACTGCCCTGTCTCCTCTCCTCTACCTCTGCCATTTACATACCTGCTGTTTTACACCTCCAACTTCTGAGAGTGTTGTGCATCAGCCTTTCCATCCGCTGTCCTCAGGCTCTTGCCAAAGACAGTCGTGAGCCCTTTCATCTTCCTCTCTGTTCCCATCCCATGACTCTCCTTTGGGCAGTGTCATGTTCTCACTTGAAATGATATCTGGCTCTTTCTCCCAAGGTTGAAAAACTGAGCTGTCATAAATGAAATCAAACAGAATTGTAGATGGCTCACTGTTAAATGATTCCTGAAACTTGTTTTCCACAAATGCAAATGTGGAAGGGATTGGTGTTTGCATTAAGCAGCTGCCTGTTCCACTGTTTGCTCAGTTGTGTGTTGGCAAAAATCATGTCAG